GAAGGTATGCTGCCACTAGGTATAAAAGCCGGATAATCTTGAAAGCTCTCCGTGGCCACACTTGTAGATTGTTTGTCGTGAGTATGTGTGTATCTGGCCACTAGATGTAAATCGTAGTTTTTGAAGCACACGGAGTGCAAATTAATCGAAAACCGTTACCGACAAAAAAAGCGTGAGCTTTTGTGGTGAATAGGATACACGAAAACTAGTTGGAGCCTGATCGTTTTGATTTACTTGCTGTGAACGTTCGATTATCCGCTCCAAAGGGTCGTCTCTCTTTTCATATTGCTGCATAGCCTTAACGGCCCTGTAATGATGCAAGTTTAAACGGAAATAAAATTGCCATACACAAGTGTGCTAACCATATATGCCAAGACGGCTCCGTTCATATCAAATAATGTTTGGTAGTCCGACAGTTTGAGCAAATAAGAAATGTCTAGATATTCGCCAATTTGTGACACAATGCATCAGTTATGAGCATAAATTAACGTTTGGAGTTACTAAATTTGATAGGGGAGGGTAAATTACCTCCTCTCTACCCCGATCTATTACCAAATTTGGCAAATACATACTACTAAATATGGTAGGAGAGGTGATGATAATGATTTAGTATTTTCCTTTTGAAGTCGTGGATAATTTTTGAAGTCTAAATTGTCTCTACTACTTTGCGATACCCAATTCTTTCATATCGTAGACAACACTGATTAAGTTACAGCAATGTAAATCTAACAGGAATAAGGTAGAAACGCGTTTTTATAAAAAAGATTGCTACATTGTAAATAGGGTTTGTCACAAATACGGGGGTAGGCTAGTTTTTTTACAATTTCATTGGTTGATATACAAATTTGACCAATGTAATTGCAAGAATCAGGTCACGTTCTACTCCGCTTTAGCCATCCTCCAAATACGGAACCTAATTGTGGCGATCAACTCATCTTATCGAAACTCGAAGGCCAAAAATGTCTAGTAAAGCGTATGTGATTGGCGTCGGAATTACTCAATTCCTTAAACCTCAGAACAAATTCGACTATCCCGGTATGTGATGTTAGAGAAACTGGTTAATTGTTATTATTGGACATTAACAATAATTCCTCCACTAGAACTCGTTCTTGAAGCCACCACTAAAGCTTTAATTGATGCAAGTATAACTTATGATTCAATCCAACAGGTAGGAATATATAATGTTACATATATACATTGGTTAATTGACGGCGAGACTAACAATTCCGCCATCAATAGGCTTTTGTTGGATATTGTTATGCTGATTCGACTTCTGGTCAACGAGCATTGTATCAGCTAGGAATGACTCAAATACCAGTGATGTACGTCAGAGAATTGATGAATGGTTTCTCTCTCTCACTCCACTATAAATACATGTTATGTGCTCACCACACAATTTTTAATCCTGTTGGCAGTAATGTGAACAATAATTGTTCAACTGGTTCAACAGCATTGTTCATGGCACGGCAAGTTGTCGAAGCTGGAATAGTTGACTGTGCACTTGCTTTGGGATTTGAGAAAATGACACCTGGTGTGAATACCAACAGCTTTTGATAGAAATTTCATTACAAGCATGACAGTTTAATAACGTCACATAGCTTACAGGATCTCTTAAACTAATGTTTGAAGACCGCACAAATCCGCTTGGTCTGTACTTGACATGCTACATCTTGTAATTATCTCTTCGAGTTTGAACAAATTTTACTTTGTAACAACAGATCAGATATTTGCAATGACGGCGGAGACGCGTGGGTTTGGACAGGCACCGTTTGCAGCTCAAATCTTTGGAAATGCAGGGCTAGAATACTGCGAAAAATATGGTGCCACGCCTGAACACATGGCAAAAATTGCAGAGAAGAATCATCGCCATAGGTAAATATCTGTCTTATGACATAAGTTCCTATATACTTTCTATTCAATCCGAACTAACAGACTATTCTTTAAACCATTAGTGTTGCAAACCCCTATTCTCAATTCCGTGATGCGTACACACTGGACCAAATAAAAGCTTCCCCATGCATCTATGGTCCTCTCACGAAGCTCCAATGTTGTCCTACGTCAGATGGTGCTGGAGCAGTCATTGTTGCATCCGAATCGTTTGTATTGAATAACAAGTTGTCCGGACAAGCCATCGAGATTGTTAGCCAGGCAATGGCAACAGATTCACCTGACGTGATGAGTAAGAGTTCAATCGAATTGAGCGGGGCTGATATGACAAGGCGAGCAGCGAATATAGCATTTAAAAGTGCAGGAATTGGACCAGATGATGTCAAAGTTGTGGAATTGCATGATTGTTTCTCTGCTAATGAGGTGAATTTATTCTGCTTATACACTGAAAAAGATGGTTAATGGGAAATGGTCATGTTATATCTCAAGAGGGTTTCCGTACCGTTTGGACTAAGTATTTCTATCTTGTCTAGCTTATTACTTATGATGCTTTGGGTTTATGCAAACCCGGTGAAGCTCATAAACTAGTAGAGACTGGTGATAACACTTATGGTGGGAAATACGTCATCAATCCCTCTGGCGGACTAATATCCAAGGGACATCCGTTGGGTGCTACTGGATTAGCACAATGCGCTGAACTGGTATGCTATCCCACGCAGTTATGAACATATGACCTCTTCCATAATACATCTTGCTCATTCAATTTTCTAGGTCTGGCAGTTGCGCGGTTGGTGCGGAAATAGACAGGTTTCCAACGTCGAGTATGCTCTGCAACATAATATTGGACTAGGTGGTGCCGCAGTTGTGACTATTTATAGGCGTGCTAAGGGATTAGGGAAGCTATCGAACGAGGATCAGAATCCTCTGAAGAACCATGCGTACAACCCGGCAGTGGAGGCACGAGGGGTTAGAGAAGAGGATGTGCGTAGAGTCATGTCGAAAAAATTTAGTGAACGATATAGTTCGAGATTGTAGATGAAAGTAATTTACAGTAATGCAAATGCGGTCGCATAGGACACAGACAGTGTAGTAGCATTTTCAATGTGAATGTTTTATATTAATAGTCAGGTTGTATTTTTATGTTACCTAATTAGCCTGCAATAGTAATCCTTTCGGTAGCCAGTGAGATTGTATAGTTATTTACTGCTTTCTCATCGTGTTCTTCTTAGTGTCTGATATCTGTGAGAGAACTCGCAGGTTATGTGCATTGCTATAGCGTGAATTTCGTTGACTGAAATTCTCGGTCAGTTTGCCCTATCATCAACTACATAATGGAAAGTGTAACAGACAAGATTGCTGAACAACGAAACTCAATGCTAGAACTTACCGCCCATAACACAACGGTGCGAAAGAAACAGAGAAGCGTGTAATACCTTCAGATCTTTTGGTATGTCACATGTGCCAATTTTGAAAAGACGGTATGTCACCAGTTTGTGATTTATAACCGTGTATCAAATATACATACCAAGTAAAAGCGAAGGTTCAGGCCAAAGCACTGAATCATGTAGCTTTTGAATCGTACTGGCAACTTCCGTCTTACTTCACTTCTGAGACAATGACAAAGTTCAACAAGTCCTTTCCCGTCCGTGCATTCTGGATATAGTCCGCTGCTTCTTTTTGTAATAAACATCATACGGTTTGCTTACAGAAATTTCATCGGACTTTCGTCGGACGTATATGCAATTCCATCTACACGGTCAGGATCCTCTGTAAGCAGAAGCGACAATGGTTTATTCCCACTAGAGAGTGTGAGGATACTGATGTATTAGTGTAAACTTGCAGGGACGAGATGAGTTGAAGACATTCTTACGGGATACAGTGCGTTAAGAAAAAAACGGCGATGACAAAAAACTGTATATCTCAACAATTACGAATTTAAATTAAAAAACTTGGGTTGTATGAGATTCTATTGCTGTCATGCAATAAAATAGTTTCGCATCTGCTATGGCGGAGACTAAATTATTAACTATCTCCTGAGGAATTTCGTCCCATTCCTCAACCATAAATCCCATGTATTTTGTGGCATTCGCTTTTCAACGTTATTCTTCATGATTTGCCACATATTTTCAATTGGGTTGAGGTCCGGACTGTTAGTATTTTCAGCGAGAAATTCTTTGGCAATGCGTGACGTGTTGCAACCCTTTTTTTTTTCATGTGATCCCATGCGAAATTGACATATTCTGCGTATATTCTGTCCGTAACGATATATTAATATTAATATGAACGAGACAGTTGTCGGATCTTAGAGAGCCCGTAATGATTAGTACTAGCTATTATATTGGTATCATAACAAAATGTTCAACTGCATTTTTACAACTTACTAAAGATATTTCAAAAATGCAAGCTATCGTGAGAGAAAAGCTTGATATAATCATTGGCTTGTAAACATCCTTTACCTCGCCAATTATAAATTTATTGATCGAATACTTTCAAAATCAGGATCATATTAATATTAGTTATGGTCGTATAACATGTTCATGAGTGAACACGGTCCAGGTTATGATAAGTTGTTTGCACGTCGTCCTACTAATGAATAAATTACAGTTTCATAAATATAAATCACACGATATATCAGTCGTGCAAAATACAAAACATTCAGTCGTTAGGGTCGTTACCTTAAAACCTGATAATAACATCCACACGAAGTGAAGTAACAAGTCAATGCAACATCTCCTGAGCGGTTTGTGATATCATACTCTTTGTTTCTTTTTAGGATAGTTTGTATCAATATTATTATTATCTCCAATAGGAGCATAATTCCAACTCTCAATGACTTTCCGTTTAGCCGCAGGAACCACCCTCAAGATGTCTTCCGGTGAAGCATAGGGTCTATTTTCTATGATGGCTTGGGCGTCATCTTCCTTAAATTTGTGCTTCTTTATCAAAATGTCTTTGTCAGCATAGTTTGGGTTGTTGTTCTTCATCTCAAACAGAATGGCTCGGCTGCTAAAAGGGTCACCAAAGTAATCATGATAATTTGCATGGCATATCAACAGGCAGTCTTTGGGTATATTTTTGGGATCATCTTTGAACTTGGCAGTAGTGATTAGTACTGTGATGATGTGATGCCATGTCATGCTACTGTACAGTGAAGAACCTCTTAGTTTCTTGATGGTATTGATGTTTTTGGTGTGCTCTGATTGGATGTCAATCAAAGTGATATCTGTTGATATCCAGTTCTTCATTTGAAGCCCCATGGTAACATCCATTTTGCAGTCATCAAACAAAACCCATCCAAGGTTTGATGCAGTATTTCTGGTCACAACCTGATTATTATTATTGTTGCCAGCAGTAATCTTGCCACTTATGAGTTTTTGATAAAGTTCCTCTTCCTCATCATTGCGATTGGCATTTTTGACAGTAAAAACAGCATCTGAAAACTCAGCCCCTTGAGCATTAACAATCAGGAAGTGGCCTTGCCAATCTATCTCATTACTGTCAATGGTTGACAGTTTGAAGGTTGGAAAATGGTGTCTAGCTTTGACTAAGGCCAGCTTTTTGAGTCTGATAGGCAATTCCAAGACTTCTCTCTGACCATAAGCATCACAAAAAAATTCTCCGAGGTTCATTTCAACAAAGCCACAGTCAACAAAAATATTAGTACAATAAGCTGTGTACTCAACACAAAATTCTTCAAAGGCCTTATATTCTCCATACCAGTTTTGTACAAACCCATGTTGTAAAGATTTGTTCCCCTCAAGAATGGCCTTGTTATATGAATGAAGGAAAAGAAATGGGATTTGAACTAGAACTTTTTTGTCGCAGTCATCTTGGTCCTCAAGAATCATGTGCAACTCACTCTCCAGATCATCAAAAGTCCTCAGAGGATCACTGTGTGGTACAGTTTCACTCCTTCTTGATGAAATTTGGCAGATACATCGACGAATAAGCTCACAGATGAGTGCTTGGTTTTTTTCAGCGAAGGATTCAAGAGCATATCTCCCATCAAGCATCAATACTAGTTTATTGAAATAATGTTTTTTGGTGTGGAGCTTTTGGAGATTGTTAAGGAAATCTTCCTTTCTTTGAAGTCCCACACCAAAAAGCTCCTCCAGGAAATACTGTAATGCCCGTGGGAGGCCACCTGTGTCTGATAGAAGCTCAAGGAGCCAGAAGTGGGGTACCCATAGATGATCTGCAATATTAAGAAGATTCATAAAATGTTTCAGGATGAAGATGCAAGAGCTGATTGATAACATTGGACATCTTATAGGAGCAATATTGTAAAGTGTGGGCTTGGTTGCTTCAAGCACCTTTGACCGTGCAGTTCCAGAGATAAATGTCTGGATGAAGATATTGGAAGTTTGATCAATCATGTAATTCCCAAGATGGAATAAGATGTCTTTGAGGAAACACATTCCTTGCATTGTGGGTGGGTCTGTATCAGAAGGAAGAATATCTGAAATAGCTGGTGCTTTTCTCTCAAAGGGGCCATTCCACTTTGAACTCAAGATCAACTGAACCTCATCAAGGTGAATGAATAAGAACAAATATTGGTTGATAACAAGGTTCAGCCTATTTCGAATACTTTCGACAACAATTGGGAATTTGAAAAGTCCTTTATTATTATGCTGAAGTGCTTCATGACGGAACTCTGAAAAACTCATCTGATATTTGCCCCAAATGAAAAAGACAAAGGCAACACGTAGAGAAAGAATAACCTCAGCTGAGAGTTGCTCCTCTTTATCACTCAATATCATACCATTGCTGAAATCAATCATGATGTACTCATAATGTGGAATAGGTGGCCTCTCAAACTTAGTCACTGAGTATGAGTTTGCAACTAGTTGCTCCACTTCCTCAACATTGGTCATCAACTTATGTTCGCATTTGCTCAACATGTCACACATCTTATTCCAAGTATGTTGCTTTGTGGCTTCAAGTGCAGAATACAATTCTCTGCCATACCGTGTTTTCCCTGAAATAATATTATTTAGGAGTTTCTGCAAACAATAAACAAATATCAAATATGTGTAAGCACATTATAATTAGTTAATTACCTATACCAGCTGTTCCAGCACATAAGATGATTGTCTGATCTGCCTTTGGAACAGTTTTGGGAGGCTTTGTTCTCAACAATCTTTCTATATTTGAGTGGACAATATCCATGGACTTCTTCAAGGTTTCCTCACGGTCAACTAGGGGTATAAGTACATCGATTGTGCTTGATTTGCCATGTTGAGTACTGGGAGTTGCATTACTCAAGATTTTTTCCATGAATTCCAATAATGTTGCAGGCTCTGACAAATACAAATGAAATGTAAGCATATTAGAGATGATATTTAAATAATTTCATGTCCTGTGATCAAACCCTAACACTCCAAGTCAGATTGAATGTTCCCCCAACCAATCACATCACAAGTTAATCAGTATTAGTGTATCAAAATTTCTCTCAAACAGATAGATGGAAATAGGTATATGAATAATGGATAACAAGTTAGTTAGCTCACAGACAGTTTGCCAACATTCCTCAAAGGTGGACGAGTGGAATATAACAAGGAGACCAAACATATAGAATGCTTGTGACAACATCAAAGAAATGGGAGTTTAATATGCCTCTCCATTTACCATGTTCATAAATGTCACCTCATTTGCAACTATGAAAGGCTGCATATTAATATCTCTCATTTGCATTTTTTAGTTGAGGTATAGATATATAGAAGAGCAGGAGTGCATGGTTAAGCAATGAAATGATATGAAGGGGTTGTGATAAATGGGAGAGAGAAGGTATGATAAAAACTATATTAGCTATGTCTACTCTACCCTATATACACACTACTCTATGTCCCCAACAGCCCGAGTCACAACGTCATTACCTTGAACTTTAATATGTTTAGCAGCACGATGGCTGCACAAACAAACCATCTTACCACTGTCAGCTGGATCGAACTCCATACAGCCACAACCTTCTTCAGAGCATTCTTCACGATACTTCCCGTCACAGTCTTTCATTTTGGTCGATGTCTTGCGCGTGCTCACGATGTGACTAACACCAATCAATCAATGACGTATTAATAGGAACTTTCTAGTATGTAACTATTGTTCCATTGTATGCAGAGTGTGACCAGTGATAATCAATGCGCAGAAATTCGCGTTTGTCATAGTCGAGTATTTATCTGCCGCTTTTATCGTGATCTGCAAGCTCTTGAATAATCCGGCCACAATAAACACCGTTCGGATTATTTTAAGAAAGTCGTCAGAAATACATGTTTATTATTGGTCATAAATCAAAAAATCATACTTACCTAAAAATTAACCTAAATAACCGTGATAATAATCCGAATTGTTACGGGGAAAGCGGAATAACGCGGTAAAAGCGGCGGATAAATACTCCATCAAAAAATTTACGGACGCATGACCACCGCAAAAGTTTTTACTGGCTGAAAACCTTTTTGATAGAGATCGCTCGAAAGTAAATTAAATAACAAATTTTTGAAAACCCGTTAATATCAACAGTGGTTACAGAACGGATTTCCCCATATTTAAATTCTCCCGCATATATCAATTTGGATATCATACCCCGTTAATATCCCTATCAACACATATCAGATTTTATTCCTACACTCAGTGGAAAAAAGTCGCCGGACACTTTATTTATTTAAACATTAATGCAAAATGGGAATATTTTTAATAGCTTGTTGGACCCACACCTCTCAATACACTCGTGAACACGTTTAGGCATACTATCGATCAACTTCTTATAGGTTTTCCTGGGAATAGTTCCCCACTCTTCTTTTAATGCCACATATAATTTGTGCTTATTTGCGGGGCGTAAATTTCTTTTTCATACTTTTCTTCCCATAGATTCTCGATCAGGTGATTGTGCGAGCCACTTTGAGAGAACCTTAACCTGTTTCTGAGACATCCAGTCCTTTGTGTCTTTGGCAGTATGGATGGGCGCATTATCTTGTTGGAAAAAATAACGGCGATGATTGAATTTCTTGTGGGTCCATGGCATGGTGGTAAGTTGTTTTCCAAAATTTGTATATATCCAAAGCGATTTAATTTGCCTTCTACTAGTACCAAAGGACCCAATCCTGTCCCACAGAAACATCCCCATACCATCACGCCACCTTTACTGTAGGTACAAAATTTTCCATGTTAAATCTTTTACCATTTTCTCTCCAGACATGCTGTGGGCCATCACTAAAGAGACAAAACCTGGATTCATCACTCCAAATAATTTCATTTCATTCTTTTATTGACCGATTGCCCATATTCTGAAAGTGTAATAATTTTTGCACGTTCACATTCAGTAAGTTCTCTTCTATTCCTAACTGAAATCTGGTTACTCATTTTCGCGCAATTTTTACGTAATGAATAAGAGAAATCGAAGAAAACTTTGTTATTAATTGACTTTGTTTACATCAATATTCGCAACTGTTACACTATATAATTATTTATGGATACTAAACTATTTATGGTAAAAATTCACAATCATTTTATTATACATTATCCCGAGCAGTATTCGAATATATAAAGTGTCCGGTGACTTTTTCCACTGAGTGTATGTATGAATTGCTCTACTAATGTAAACAAATTCTTTTTTATCAAGCAGGATAAATGGATATGTCAGCGGTTTTCTTCGCAAGGCGGTTGCGCTCCCTCACCGTGACAAGAGCTCTGTAGTGTCGATGCTTAGTGATGAGGCCACCGACTTAGCCAACTTTATTATTGTGACGCTACGCTATAAACGGTGAAGTATTCTCTCCTTTATTTCTGCGTTCCTCCGACGGTGCCGCAGCACAAATC